CCCCGTGCTCTCTAAACAAACAAACTCTTCTCCATAGTTGTTTCAAATCTGAATACTCCACGACCAAATCTAATAATGAGGAAGAGAGAGTGGTTGTTTTATACATAAATGAAATAAAATCGGAAAGGTATCAAGTTGCACCCCCCGAGTGAAGTAAAACTCTAACCTGCAGGTTATTCAGAGGTTCCATCTTCATTACTGGGCCCAAGGTGTTGAGAGGCAGGGAGACATCAATGCTCTGGTTTGGCATGAGTGGTGTATGGATGGCCAGAGGAGTGCTGGGGATGACACCAAAGCTACGAAAAAGGATGAAAAAATTCCAGAGGTTAATCAGAAGGCAAGATTTAGCCACATCTTTGGGTTTCAATGGCTCTTTACTCCATTTGAACATAATTTTTAATAAAATTAAATGGAAGAAACAATGGAAACAAGATGCTTAATTCTAATTTGCTGTAAACTGATTACAACATAACCCGTTTCCCATTAAATGGATTTGAGGAAGGAGAAAACATTCATAAGCACAGAATTGCTTTGCTAGTTTCTTATGTTTCACACCACTAGAGGGACAGATTTAGTAAGTTTCTCTCTCTTTTTAAAAACATCTTTCCTTAGAAAATCCTTGGGAGAAAGAAGACTTAAGAATACACACTCTGTAAAGTACAATAGATTGACATTATTTCACTAGCTTGATAACCTGCCTCAGTAATCCAGAATATTACTTACTGGTAATTCTAATTTTCTTTTTGTTTACCTATGCAAGACACAATCACTAGAAAAGAGCCAGTGAAAGTAAAGCAAAATTGATTGGCTTAGACATTCCAAACGACTAGGACAAGCTGGTCACTTTCTAAGCCTGAGGCACAGAGTATGTACCCACCAGTTTGACTTCACAGAGAAGCCTGTCTAATAACAATACAAGAATAGTAAAGAGATGGGAAAAACCTGAGTCTGGAGTTACATAAATAACAAATACATATGAGAGCAGACGTGGTTTTTTTTTTTTTTTTGAGAGTGCACGCTAGAGAAAGTGAGCATACGCCCAAGCAAGGAGGGTGGGAAGGGCAGAAGGAGAGAGAGAATCTTAAGCAGGCTCCACCCCCAGCACAGGGCTCAATCTCATGACCCTGAGATCATGACCTGAGCTGAAATCAAGAACTGGACACTTAACAGACTGAGCCACCCAGGTGCCCCAAGAACAGACACGTCTTATGTACAAGAAATATAAGAATTTCAAATAGATGGAGCATAAAGGTAAAAGTGGGCCTACAGGTTTAACAAATACACAAATGAAAGATATAAATTTATATTGAATTTGTGTTCTAATTAGCCTCAGGAAGGAAGATGGGACTATAATACTTATAAAATAACTATAGAGTTTATATAGGTAATATAAAGAACTATAGAGTTTATATAGGTAATATCTTTCAAGAGTCAAAGGATAGCAAAGAAACATTTTCTTTTTCCTAAACTATGCTTTAGAATATCAAAATGTAATAATAAAGTGATCCTGAGAACACACATCACTCATTTTTGTGTAACATTTATAGATCAAAAAACCATTCTGTTCTTTTGATCTTGCTCTCATGGTCAGCAATCTCTGAAGGCAATATTGGGATAAAAACATGACAGCAGTTTAGTTCCTAATCTTCGAATTGCTCCTCTTGGAAATGATAACAGAGGAAACAAAGAGGGAAAAATTCCTTACTAATCTACAACTTCACCTTCTGCAAAACTACAAGTCCAAGGAAACCCACAAACTCCCAATTATATTTACATGTGGCCAATGCTCACGAGATCAGCAGAACTGGTGAGAGAAGCTCTGGAGGTGCAGCAGGGAGGCACAGAGAGTTCAGAGGCAACTAGTGATAGCAGGCCTCAGATACTGACCATAAATATCCATTTTCAGAAGAGAAACCCATTCCAAGTGCCAAGTGCTACTGAGTAGGGCAAATACCAAACAGGGAATGCAGAGGTCAGGTGAAGAAAGAAGGTAGAAAGTCCCCAGGGGGGCCTGGAGGTAACAGAGCTCAAGAAAGCAGCCTTCTAAAGGGGAAACAGATACCTGGAGATAGGGCTGTGTTCCTCAGAGGAAGAAAGCAGTAAGAGAATCTGTAGAGCTCAGGACTGAAATAAAGTCTTCTTGAATAAAGTCAGGTTCTTAGAGGCAGAGGAGTTGTGACCACACCATAGCAAAGGAGGGAGAGTCCCTGCGTAGCAAAGCCTAAAAAAATGACCCTGGCTTATCTTTCTCGTCTACAAGAGCCTCCTGCTAATAGCAGGTCCTGCAAATTCCAACTCATTCAGATAGGAGTATCAAATGCTATAAGCACAGCACTCAAAGACACTATTACAAAAAAGTGGAAAAACAGCAGTACAAAACTTACTGACAAATAAGACATACTTGAAAACAATTTGCCATAAAAACAATGGAAATTATGGGGGCGCCTGGGTGGCTCAGTTGGTTAAGTGTCTGCCTTCGGCTCAGATCATGATCCCAGGGTCCTGGGATCGAGCCCCGGAGAAGGAAGCCTGCTTTTCCCTCTCCCGCTCCCTCTTCCCGTCTCCTTCCCTGCTCCCCCCGCTCATGCTCACGAACACGAGCTCGCTCTCTCTCTCAAATAAAATCTTAAAAAAAAAAAAAAAAGAAACATTTATACAGAAGTTAATGGAAAAACACACTTAATAAAGCAATTGCAGTCACAAAAGGAGAACATGTAACAGTGAAGGAAGCACTTGGGGCAGAGATGGCCAGACAAGAGGAGAAGATAAAGGAGTCAATAAAACTCAGGAAAGAAATAATAGAAAAGAATAAATCATGTCAGAAATGAACTAAACTACATCAATAACATAGATGCAAAAAACACTCAACAAAATTTTAGCAAATCAGATTCAGCAATACATAAAAACAGACAATATATCCTGACCAGACAGGATTTATCCCAAGAATACGAGATTGGGGTAGCGATCAAAAAAATCAATCACTGTAATCCATCATATAAATACACTAAAAAAGAACCACATGATCATCTCAATAAATGAAGAAGCATCTGACATTTTTACCAACTTATAATAAATTAATAATTAATGATCAATTTAATACACACAGTAAAACTCAACAAACTAGGAAGAGCAGGAACTCCCTCAACTTCCATGAAAAACCTACAGTTAACACTGCACTTAATGGTGAAAGACTGAATGCTTTCCCCCAGAGAATTAAAACAGAACAAAGATGTCCCTTCTTATCACATGCACTCTACATTTACTGCGGACCCTAGTACAGTCTGACAAGAACAGGCATAAGACTGAAAAGGAAAAGATAAAACTCTCTATCCACAGACAAAATGATTTATCTATGTAGAAAACTGTAAGGAATCTACAAGAAAGCTACCAGAACTAATAAGGGAATTTAACAAAGTTGCACGATGCAAGTTCAACATACAAAAATCAATTCTACTTCTATATACCAGGAAGAAATAAACATTAAAATGAAAAGAATGCTACTTACTATACCATCAAAACTATGACACACTTAAATCTGACAATAGGCAAGATCTGTACATGAGAAATTATAAAACAGTGCAGAGAAAAGTTAAAGATGACCTAAATAAAAAAAGCAAGCTGATAGATTAGAGCTCAGTATTGTTTGATGTCAATTCTCTCCCAAACTGATCTACACTCTCAATCAAAATCCCAGCAGGTAAAGGACCTAGAATAGCCAAAACAATTCTGAAAAAGAACAAAAACGGAGTTTGTACTATCTGACTTCAAGGCTTACTATGGGAAAACAAAGTTTACTCTGACTCTCTTACTTTACACCATATTTAAAAATTATCTCAAAATGGATTATAAAAGTTAATGTTGGAGCTAAATCTATACCACTTCTATCAAAAAAAAAAAAACAAAAAAAACAGAAAGAAAGATCTTTGTATCCACGGGCCAAGCAAAGATTTCTTAGAACATAAAGAGCATAAGCAATACAGAACTTTTACTTTTTGAAGGACACTGTTAAGAAAATAAATCCACAGAAAATATTTGCAAGAGGTATATCTGACAAAGGATTTGTATCCACAATATATAAAGAACTTTTACTACTTGATAATAAAACTAAAAAAAGAAAGATCTGAGCAGATACTTCACTAAAGATATAATGGTCAATACACTGATGAAAAAAATTGCTCAATATCATTAGTCATTAGGGAAATGCAAATTAAAATGAGAAATAAATTAAAATGCAAGTCACTATAAACTCTTAAGAAAGGCTAAAATTGGTAAATAGCTGGAAATAGAACTAGTCTGACAAAAGGAAACATAGACTTTCCAGATAAGTGATTTCTAATGTGCCAAACTTTCAATCTAAGGTATAAAAGTTATTTCCAAATGCTTAGAAATAAGTAAGACAATCACTGATACAAGTTGTCGCTGATAAATTTTATTAAATCTGCTTTAAGGGTCCAATTACTACTTTGCTAGAAACAAGTTTGATTATCTTGTATTTATGAATGGACCTGCCATCAAAGTCTAGCAGGCAGTTTCCTGAACCACGATATTTAATAAAAAACAGTGATGTTTCAGAACCATAGAAAATCAGTATTTACATCTTCATGCTCCCTCCCTTAATAAGGCAAAGAATTCATTGCTAAAAGCAGACTGTCTGCCTACATTATTTAGCTAACAGGTATACTATGTTCCAAATTTTTGACATCAATCAAAGTATGTTCATTTTTCCCAACAAAATGTGGGCTTTGGATATTCATTTGTTTTGTTCACTACTCTAGCCCCAGTACCTAGAAATGTTTGGCACATAGATGCTAAACAATTATTTGTTGAATGAATAAATGGATTTTAATTAAAACTTTTTTTTTAAAAAATCGTTTATTAAAAACTTTCTAGTCCTGGAATCCTTTAAGAAGGCAGTAAGTAAATTCTGGTTTCCTTTTTCTATAGGGATGAGTTTCCCAACGAAATTTCCTAGGGCCTCCAGAGCGGAAGCTGACAAGTGAATAGACATGCAAGACCAGCTCTCACTCTACACCCAACATCTGCCAACATGAGAGTTTTTAATGCATTGTTAAAAATGGAACATTGGCTTGTTGTACACAAGGCACAAGTTTCATGACCGAGCTGAGGACTCAGACGTCGTACCTATTCTTGTTAAACTGGATTGCAAAGTCTGTCATGTGCTGCAGAGCTTTGTTGGTGAAGTTCATTTCCATATAGATGTGCCCCTGGCGGTGAGTAAATGTTCCGGAAATCTCCAAGCCTTTAGCTTTTACTGCAGGCAGCCAGACCTAAAAGACAGTATAGAGCCCAATGGAACCACACAAGATTTATCTCAATGCTATTTGTTTTGAATATATAAAGATGAAATTAAGATTTCGCTTCTTTAGGCAATTATGGTGATTTTTATACTATAAATATCAAGTCAGATGCAAAAGGCTCTGGATATTCTCTGAATTTTGAGATTGTTCTCAATTGAAGAACCAAACCAAACTAAACCCACATGAAAACAGTCTATGAATAACCTGGCTAGTTCTCCATCTTCTGTTCAACTTGGTCATTTTACTGCTTGACTACTGCTACCAAAAGTATATACAAGAAAAAAAGAAATTCCAATGAGTATAATTTTTTTATTATTATTAGCACCTTTGGTAAAAGGCTTAAAAGGGAAGGAACTGAATCTACTAATGAAAGTAGCATGTCTGTATCTTTGAAGACTTTTTTTTTTTTTAATCATCACTAAAACCATTATCAGTAATCTTAAAGGCAAGGACCATGTCTTATGTATGTTGTTAACTCTTGCCATAGTTTCTGGTAATAGTACTTAGATGTGGCTTAAGTACTTTGAATGCCTATCTTCTCTATACAATCCATTACCCATCCCTGGCCCTAGAACCTGTGATAATCCTGGACAGTAAGAGTTAACTAAAAAAAAAAAAAAAAAAATCAGGGGGCACCTCGGTGGCTCAGTCAGTGAAGTGTCTGACTTGATTTTTGGCTCAGGTCATGATCTCAGGGTCATGAGATCAAGCCCTGAGTTGGGCTCTGAGCTTAGCAGGGAGTCTGCTTGAGATCCTCTCCCTCTCCCCTGCTCCTCCCTCCACTCTCGCTCGCTCTCTAAAAATAAATCAATCTTAAAAAAGCAAAAAAAAAGAAACAGGAAATTCATGAACTGTTCTGACCATCTAAGACACAATACAGAAGCATCAGTGGGTGGTTGAATAAACATAAAAACATATTCAGCCACGCTAAAGACAAAAAGGAAAGGAAGGAAGAAAATGAAATCAAACAACCATAAGAGATTTTTCATCTATCAGAGTCAAAAATCCTAAAAGTCAATAATACTCAATAGAGAATTTAAGCAATCTGGCACTTTGTACTGTGTTGCTGGGAATATAATGTGATGTCACCTTTGGAAGTGGAGAATGTCTATTTTAAAATGTTTAAATGATCGGGGCGCCTGGGTGGCTCAGTCATTAGGCGTCTGCCTTCGGCTCAGGTCATGATCCCAGGGTCCTGGGATCAAGCCCCACATCGGGCTCCCTGCTCAGCAGGAGGCCTGCTTCTCCCTCTCCCACTCCCCCTGCTTGTGTTCCCTCCCTCGCTGTGTCTCTCTCTGTCAAATAAATAAAATCTTTAATTAAAAAAAATGTTTAAATGATCAAGCACACTGCAGGTTTACCCTACAGCTATATTTACAAAAGTATACCAGGATAAAAAAATATATGTATACCAGGATATACATATGCAAAGATGTTCACTGCAACACTGTAATAACAAAAAGTGGGAAGGGGGGTGATAGGACCAAGCGAATAACCTGTATGTCCATCAACAGGAGAATGATTAAATAAGTTGTGGCACATCAATACAGTGGATACAGACATTCAAAATAATATAGCTGAGAAAAAACTAGATGCAAAACAGTATATTCCCCTTACATAGTTCTGTTAAAGAACACAGACATATAGGTATATGCATAATCCTTTTCTTCTGGTAGGACACACGAGAAAGTTAATAGTGGCTAGCGATGGGAAAGTGAGGACAGATAAACTTAATTTTCCATCTGTCATGTCTACATTACTTAAATTTGTCATTTGCACGTATTACTTTAATATTAGTAAACAAATGCATTAGATAATCTTTTAACCAATAATTAAAAGTCTGTGGGATAATATCCAACACAGAAACCTCACAACCAAGTTACTGTATTGTGCCAAAATATTATGGCTCAGTTTTAAATCCTATTTTTGGTTACTCTATTCAGCAGCTGTGTAGACAAAGTTATGACCCCTGGAATGGACAACTGGTCTACAACTCTAACAGGGATCCTCCAGAGTCAGATGAACAGGCAGAGAATTCAGGAAACAAACAGGCATACTGTCCCCCAGAAAGGCACAATTACAAGAAACTGGGCCTAGCCCGGATGGCACTATTCCCAAAGGCTGAAATAAGCTTCACTTACAGCAGTTTCCACTTTTGAAATTCAGTCTGAGCAGGACATTAAGCAAGGTTGAGACTAGAAAAGCATCAATGACACAAACCTAAATCAGAACTCTAAAAACATACACTAAAATCCATGAAAGCCAAACGTGAGCATCAGCACTCTAGAATCCACACGTAATACCAATCGAAAAAGGGAATGGAAGGAAAGAGAAGTAAAAATGTTATTCCTCTATACTATACCCTGCCACCCCCCGCCCCTCACGGTTGCATTAACTGGGTTTACACTAGATTGACTTCAGTGCTGACAAACCAGACAGTATTTCTAAACACAAATATTTAATATTTCCAATTTTAAGTCTAATTATAGAAATAGTTAATGAAGATGCTATGGTGCTTCTCGTATTGCTAAATTTCAGGCTACTTTTCATCTTCCTCTTAAATCCTTTAGGACAAGGGCCCAAACCTTGGACTTATCAGTGGAAGTAACAAAAAATATAGTTAAGTAATTCAGGTATTATTCATTAAGAAAATATCACTTTACTTACAGCTTTAGGAGCCACATATCCACCAGGTGCCATGCCTATTCCCGTGGAGAGTTCAAACAGGTCATTCAGACCACTGCTGACCACAGCAGGAGTAGGTGAAGGAGCAAAGGTTGCAGGCACTGATGAGGGGATGAAGGATTGTCCCACCTGCAGGGAAAAAGGGAAGGGGGGCGGGGAAACCACAAAAAACAGATTAATAGCCCTTAACATGTTGCTCTATATTTTAGTAGTAGTATTGGTAAAACAGTAAGGACACACCATAATTACAATATTCTTGGAGCTGAATTAGGATATTCTTTGTCCTCTTAATCATCACAGTTATTTTTTCATCATTGATAATATACAGACACTCTTTAGAAGTTCTATCAGAGAGTAATCAGTAGGACCAGGAACACAGTGATCCAAGATCTTTTCTGTTTGTTTCCAATTTTAGCTTCCATGATTCTGTGCAAAAGGCCTACATGTACCCTAATGAAGGGGGAGTCTGTTTCTATAGAAAGAAGAAGCATCCAACTCAGAAAGCAGTTCTATTTCCACTTGGGTGCAGACAAGTCTTACTTTCACATTTAGGCATAAATATCTAGTAGGAAACTCTCCTGGGGGGAGATGGATATTCATACCCCCCCCCAACTCAGTCACTTACGAGAAGAGTCTCCCTCTGAGTCCGCTGACTCTCTCAAGTTCTTTGTAGATGACACTAGAGAATAAGAGCATTCTCCAGTCAAGATGGGAGGTTCCATTTCCTTTAGCTCTTTAATGTCAGGAAGACAAAGATCTCTGTAGACACCAGAGCGCCAATCCCTAAAGATGTCCCTACACCACATGTGGTGTATGCCTCCGAAGAATCCAAGTAACCCTATGCTACTTTCTACTCTTCATATACTGCTATAGAGGTTTTGGTGTACAACACTAGACAGCAGCGGTGACTGGTCTGAGAATGTGTGCATAGGAAAGGCATCAAACAGAGGGCAGCGCATCCCATGGTGAAAAAAACGGATGGCACTTACTGCCGGACTTCCTCCAATGCCCCCGCCAAGGTCACTGCCAAGCTGAAAGAGAGAAAGGAGAGAGAGGAGAGAGAGGTAGAGTTCATTTAGCTAAGTACTAGATGCCCATATAGAATCTGTAAATTGCTCTACCAAGTTGCTGGGAATACATGCTGTTCAACTTGACTCCCAAAGCTTAAAGAAATTCTAGATTGCAAAGAAACATGTCCTAGGGGAATCGAGTAGTGGTACTGATGGTGTGTGGGAGTTCTGAGAAAACTTGCAAAGAAGATGGAGCTGGGACATCTCAGGGATGTTTCAGATCCAATCTTCTCACTGGGGTACACAGGCACAAACCTAACCGGATTTAAGGAATTTACATATTCCAAGAAGCTCTATCAACAAGCAGTGTCTTGAAAGTGTTTTATTTTTCCCCTAAAAAGAAATTTAAGGGAGAAAAAAAAGAAAAGCAAAGAAAACCTAAAATGTGCTTTGATCTACAAAACCTGCTGTCCCACTGAGAAGGTGGGAACCAAACCAGTATTGAGCAATTTCAAGCTTCAAATATTACAGGTGGAAAGAGTGATTTTTAGAATTTAGAACTTTCCTATGAAAGAAAACAGCTGGGAGAGGTCAAGATACCCTACCCGGGGAGGAAGTAGGAAGGCATGCAATGCTTCAAATCTCTTTCACAGTCGATAGTACTAAGGAGAAATGCTGTGATTTATCTGGAGATCACGTAAAAGGATGCTAACTATTGGAGAATTAGATGGACTCAATTAGCTAGGTGACAGGAAAATCATTCCACATGGTCTTAATCTGGCCTTTTCCCCCGTCAGGGCTCTGATATAATTCATCCCGAAGCCAGGCATCCATGACAAAAGTATTAAAGAAGAACTGAACCTGAAAATAGCTGGCATGAAGAAACATAAAACACACATACACACAACTAACAGTGCTGTATAAAAAGCGAACACCACCTTTTTTGGCTACAGTTCCGCATTTGCCTCTTCCCTAGTTCTCACTGTGCATCTGAAATTCGTCTTTGAATCACCAAATGCCTTGTCTGCTCTACAAACACTGTTTCCTTTATTATCTGTCATTTAGTGGTAGAAACTTGGAAATCTTTGTACTGTGGTTATGTTAAAAAGCAAAACTGTACTGGTTTTCAGGATTTGAGAAAGAGGATTTATCTTCTCAGTGAAAAAATACATGAAACAGGGTTGCCAAAATCTAAAAAATAATCTATCCTGAAAAACAGTGAGACCTATGACAAAAATCCTGTTTCCACCATGACAGAAAATGGGCTGGGCAGGGGCTTCATAACTAGCATTAATAAGCATTCTCTGCTCTAAGTTAGAGAGCACTCCAAACCTTGAAGAGCCTGGTTCCTGAAGATTACTTAATGGTTGAAAATAAGCCAAAAATCACATGTGTAAATAAATAAAAAGGCCACCACAACGAAGAATTCAAACAACTGGAAAAGTCTGAAAGCAAAGAGAAAAGATATCACACATCTGCTTTCTCTCTGGTTCTGCAATAGCACACATCTGAAAACCACCTTTTATTCAAACACTTATATAACATCATTTGGATGCAAGGCACTATGGCGAATGTAAAGATGCCAGGCAATGAGGGGAATACATAGATGAATGAGACCCAGACTTTGCAAACTGGCAGGAGAAATAAAACATGAATGCAAAACCACACAGAATATTCTAAAGCAAAAAAAAAGAGAGAGAGAAATACTGAAGGGAAGAGCCTCCTTTTGGCTTAAGAATAATGAAAAGCTTCAAAGAGGTGGTAGTGTGGGATTATAAAAGCAAAAAGGGGGAGGTTATTTCTCAAACAGCATGCACAAACACTGTAAAAAACATGAATAAAAGCAAGATCAAGAAGAAGGAGTAGTCCAATTAGACTGAGCACAGGGTAGATATGTGTTTAAAAAAAAGTCACAAAATAAGTTTGCAAAGGCAGGCTGATTATGGGAGGTCTTTAATTTTTTAATTTCTCCTTCATAAAACCTTAGAACGTTTCATAGAATAAGAGTACCAATAACTACTACAGTTGTGTTCTATCAACCTTAGATACACACAATAAATCAACCACCTGTGTGTGTATACTGGGCGGCATTTAAAAAAAATACTGATGCTGGAGTCTCACTCCCAGAGGTAGTGATTTAATTGTTCTGGGGTGGAGCCTGGGCATCAGAATTTTGAAAAGTTCTCCCAGTGATTCTAATGTATAGACAAGGTTGAAAACCAATGCCTTAGATAATTAATGTTTGGAATCAGAAAAGATTTACCTGTTTGAAAATGACTCTGGAGCTAAATCCTGAATAAAAAGAAAGCTAGACCTTGAGGAGGAGAAGAAGAAAAACAAAAAAAAACCCTTAATAACAAAGGGGAGGATGCACAGTGTCTCATTTGTCCTGATGCTTTGATCTGCTTTGACTTTCTAATGGGCTTACCTCTTCTTCCCCTCAACCATTCTTCTCCCTTCTGGCCAGCCTTACAATCCAAGCTTAAAAGAGATGGAATTCTGTATGGACCTGATTGGCACTCAGTGGAAAGAAAAAAAAAAAAAAAACCACACTGGAAGAGAAATGGCAGTTTTATCCTATATGCTAAATTCAATAAAAGGCATTGAGAAAAGGCACTCACTGGTGGTGTTATTTCCAAAGGAAATAAAGCCCATGTATAGCCCTTATTTTCTTAGATTTCATTCTTGGTATCTTTGAGTATTATATGAATATTATCTTAGCTGGGTAAGATCTGAATGTACTCTCCCCACCACGCTGCTTGTCAATTTTATTCAAAAACATGAAAGAAACTGAAAAGCAATCCAGGAGTCCCATGTTTATGTTCAGTGTATCAGATACAACTCAGTTTCAACACAGAATCAAGAACTCTGATCTTAAGAGACAGGATCTATAGGGTATTAAGAGACACATAGCCAAAAATATAAAGGTTCACCTAACTGTGCTGTTATGTCCAGATAGCAAAGGGAAAGGACAATTTCAATACATGTTTCCTACCTAGCAAAACCGTAACTTATTATTCAGACTTTATTCAGCATCTTTCCTTTGACTGAAGAAGTTCCTGAGGGAGGTTATCATCCTCCTCTCGGAAAATATGACAAGGCTGATAGCACAGTGATGGGCAAGAGTGACTAATAAAGAGATGTCAGCACGGATGGGAGCCAGTTACCCAGGGAGTGGCCTCTCCTGTCCACAGTTAACAAGGATGATGTAGACAGTAACCAAGAAAAAGAAGAAAGCTGGAAGGCTGAATAAAACACAGAAAAGTTCTCATGTTGGCCTGAGCTAGCCATTAGCCATGTCAGTTCAGTTGTTGGTATTATCTAGAGTCAGACAAGATTCATCTGCCCGGTCATACTGATCAGGTAGGGTACAAAATCAGCCAAATGAGAACTTGTAAAAATTCGATGATATCTGTTATCCAGTGAGCTGGTGGGAACTGAGTGAAAAGGGAGTGAAAAGGGCTAGGTGTGCAGGGCACGGCTTTAAATCTCCATCTTAGGTGTCTAGCTACCGTGTTTTAAGTGTCTCCTGGAGCTATCCACTTCCCACTGTTCCCAGGATTGCCTTACTAAACCTGCCATTCTCTCCATGAAGGAAATGTCAGGACAGAGGAAGACAAAGAAAGGTGAAGTGCCAATTTCAGCAAAAGAGTATTTCAAATGCTGAAAATTGAGAATTTTCCTAAAGGCATGCAGCTGATACCCCAGGTCCAAATGGTGGCATGGTTAGTGGTATACAAGCCATAGTGGTTTGGTTCCCCTAATCCCCAATCCAAATCATAGAGTAGTTGTAGTCATTAAACGGCAACATCTTGCTACTGCCAAAGAGTGGCCACTTTATCATCCCTGAAGTAGTGCTGAATTGGGCTCAGTTCAGGCTGAACTACACGGTAATGTGTCCTTGCAGTGTTAATCGAGTAACTAGATGGAAAGCAATGATTTCATGGTGACTTATTGTAACTTGTGGGCTAAAGGGATTTCAGTACAGTTACATGATTTCTCAACAGAGCCAGGTTGAGCCAAAAGTTTAAGCTGAGTCTGCCCATAGCTCTAGTTCAGCTAGATACCAAAAGGAAACAGCCTCATCCAATGGCAATATATTACAATAGCAGAAATACAGAGGGAGAACTCATGAGTAAGGTTCTATAAGGCAACAAGTCCACCTGACTCCAAGAAAAAAAAGGCTTTTATAAAAGAGTATCAAATGAGATGGCCACTAAGCAGACCAAAAGAAAAAAAAAAGTCCCACAAATGATCACAATGGCTGGTCTTGGTTAGCCCCTTTCAGGTAGGTACCTCTGACCAGTGCAAAATATACCTACCTTCTTCTAAACCTATGGTGCTGAGTATCTGAAGACATTCTCTCTCTCTTTTTTTTCTTAAAGATTTTATTTATTTATTTGACAGAGAGAGAGACAGCGAGAGAGGGAACACGAGCAGGGGGCGTGGGAGAGGGAGAAGCAGGCTTCCTGCCAAGCAGGGAGCCTGATGTGGGGCTCGATCCCAGGACCCTGGGATCATGACCTGAGCCGAAGGCAGACGCTTAACCGACTGAGCCACCCAGGAGCCCCTGAAGACATTCTCTTAATTAGAGGTGCAGATCTTAAGCTCAGAAATTTCTCTGCTTCTGTCTAGAGTTACTACCTTTTTCATATGATGGTTTTCAGAATGGATTTAATTAAAGGGAGTCTAAAGGAATGCTTCCGGTCATATAGCTTACCAACAGCTCTATTATTCAGAAGCCAAAATAGAATGATGTAAAAATAGTATACAGCAATTCCCAACAAACAATGGAATTTAGACCAAAATCCTACTGGGGTCAAAAACATCAGTCTGTGCTTTTCCTATCAGGGTTTTAGATTTTAGAAGGCACATACCATCTCCTAGGTAAAGTGCAATTTTCAGCTGTTTGGCTACAAACATTAATTTCATCTTCAAAAAGCTATTCAGAAAAGCATCATAAACTATAACTAATTAAACTGGTGAAAAGAATCTGTAACCATGCAAAAGCTATTAAACTG